TTTTTTTATGTGCCTTTTGGGTTGGCTAGAAATTGAAGTAGCAGCAGACTGGAGGGTAATAGAATTGAGGGTTTTCTTCCTCCTCTTTGGGAGGTAAGCACATTTATAGATCCTGCAAATTCTTTTGCTTCATAATTCCCATGCTTTCTGCCCAGCTTAGTTTGAGTGATAAAGATTCCTTTTTTCTTTCTTCCATGACACCTGCTAGAGGAAGGACCACCTCACCACCTACTCTCTTGCCTTTCACCAGGCTCTAAGACCTAATTAACACAATGACCCAAAGGTGTTTATATTGCAAGTCTCATCTTTGGTATAGTTAGTTCCCTGTGGCATTGCCCTACCTATTTCTGTGTCTGAAATTGGTTGGGTGTTCACCTGACAGGAAAAACAAACCCTACGTACCTGGGCTAAGGCTGTGTTCTACCTTCTCGAATTCCCAAAAGAAAAAGATTTTGAGTTCATGAGAAGCAAGTGCTGGCAAACAAGGCTCTTGCCTGAGCCTCCTACCTGTTCAGTCTCCTCATCTATACCAGAAGCATCAAATTTTGATAACTAGCACTGGAAAAGTGAAGTCATCTGAAGTGAAGGGACTTGTTTTTCTTGCTTTCAGCTCATGTAAATATTTAAATAATACAGTATTAACATTTTTGTGCTGCTTCCCATTAGCTTGTAGATTGAGCCATACTCTGGCTGCCTCTGCCTTACTGGGGGCAGTTTTCTTTAACTTGCAGAATAGTGATTTTAACACTTAAAAAAATGGGAAAAACAAAATAACCTATCCTTACAAGCATAACAGATTGTATTTAACTTTATCACATATGATAGAGAGATATATGCTGTAAAATTAGGGAAAGGAGCTTTCTAATAAACCAACGATTTGTGGAAACTTAGAGTCTGTCATGATTGTTGCCCCATTCACTCAAGTTGGGAAGAGATTAATATGGGTTATGGAATATCTTGTTTGAAGTGATCAGGGAATAGGTTCTTGTAAACCAGTTATATATGATTTTTGGAATTGTGCTCCTCAAAGCTCAGGCTGCCCAATTAAGGGGGGAAAAGTTATGCTGTGGGAGGAAGTAATAGTTACGTTTCTCTCAGTCTTACATAATTGTCTTGGAATATGCACCTCCTTTCCACTCTTTCCCATGAGAATTTTCTTTTATTTCTATTGTTTTCCTTATTGTAGTTAAGTAACCTATGTGTCATGGAATATATGGCATGTAGGTGCTCCTTAAATGGCTTTGGAATTTCTGGCTTTAATTTTTAGAACTTTGGATGAACTTCAGGGCAAAAGGCATCTGCCTGGCCTTTGTTTTTCACATGGGAGTTGTATACCAGGGCTAATATTTAATCATTCTCCTCAACCCTTTAATCCTACCCTGCAGTGCTTGAGAGCTACCTGGTGAAAGGAAATGCCCCCTAATTGTTACTGAGCAGATAAAAAGCCTCTATTTACTGTTCTGTATCAAAAGATCACAAAAGGCAGGGAAAGTTTAGCATCAAAAGCTAACCGTAGATTTGTAATGGTACATTAGTTTCCTCTCTTTCCCAGCCTTTAAGGAAGGGGTAGTACAATGTCTCTTTTGTACTCATACAGCTATGTTCTCCCCTTAACTAGAGAGGCTAATCAACTTGAACCTCGGGTTGCAGGCTCAGATCTCCCTGTTTTCCTAAAATAACAAAATCCCTGGCCAAAAAGAACGGATGTTAGAAAATGAAATGATGGAAATTCTGAGTAGGCAAGGTATCAGTGAGGCAGACTGGCCTGTAGAGTTTGCTATGTGGAGGGATGTACAGCTACTTGATTCCGGTAAGGGTTCTTCCACCTGTTTCAGCCACCTGGGATTGCAACATGGAAGTACTCCCTCTTCTACATCCTGGACGATAAACTCAGGTCTTGTCAGCCATTTCCATTCTTACTTGCCAGAGATACCTTCACCTCCCCCTTATCAAGTCATGTCTGAATGACGGTACTTTTTCTGGCTGGCCTCCCAGACTCTAGGATCTAATTCCTGTCTTCATGTAAGTTTACTGGCTTTTCAGAATCAGTGCAGTTCATTTTGTGTTTATTGCTCCCCCATAAAATTTTAAGTTCTGAGAGGACAGAGACTGATTGTTATATTTCCTTTTTTTCTTAATCCCTTAGAGCGTTTTACATAGTTGAACACATAGTGAACATTTTGATTATGTGTTCAAGAAAGGTGAGCAAAATACCATTAGCTGAGGATTATGCATCAGGATTTAGCAAAGAAACATTAAAGATGATAAAAAAATTTTCTCCACATCACCTAGTTCATTTCCAGTCACATAGAAGTTCAATAATTGTTGACTTAATGAAGTCTTAACAGAACTTTGGATTCAGTGAGGGGTTCCAGGGCTCAGGCTGATGGGATGGGCAAGTGAGTGATGTGTCAGCGCTCTTCTGCCTACTTTCAGAAGGGAGGCCAACCCAGCTCTGACCCCACAGGGACACCCACAGGGGACAGGATCCTTACTGAATACCAAGCTCCTCCCTTCGCAAGTCTGATCCTCCACCTGTTAACCAATTTTAGCTCCTGGCTCCACTGTCCTACCAGTTAAGCTGGGCACTAAGGCCTCAAATTACTTTTGACACCTCCCTACCATATCCAGTTGTGGATTGTGTAACCTCTGCTCTCTCTCTCTGCCATGTACCCTGGTTCAGGCCTCACCACCTTTAAGCAAAAAATGCAGTCAGTGCCCATTTGATCTTCCTGTAAGTCCTGCCATTTCCAATTCTATCCACAGGTAGCCCGTGTGATCATTCAAATTGGAGCATAATTCCATCTGTGTTTCTTATTCCCTAACTTAAAAAATCTTTGATTCTCTTATCTCCTCTGGATTGAAGTTCAAATGATTTAACAAGGCATTCAGATGAACCTCCAGTGATTTGACTAGCCTTCCATTCTACCCTCTTGCCCCTGTCCTCCCCTTGAAACACCCTCTTGAGTAGACTTCCTGCCTTTCCCCATAATAGACCTCTGTTCTGCTGCTGCTCTCTTTACTTATATTATTTCCTGCACCTAAAAACACCATCATTCTCTGACAAAAGGCAATATGGTGTAATGGTTAAGAACATGGATTCAAGCACAAATGTGTTTGCATCCTAGTTCTGTCACTAGCTGTATAAACTTGGGCAGTTTACCTAAAATACTGTGCCACAGTTCTCGTGTTTATAAAATACAGTTAATACCTATTTCAGAGTTGTTAGGAGCAAATGACATCAGCTGATCATCTCCACCCTTTCAAGGCATGCGTTACTATTCCTCTGCTGCAGTTATGTGCATTTATGTCAACTCCCTCTGGACTAAATTCTTTAAGGATCTTTGACAATTATCTTTGTATCCCTTATCAGTGCCTTGAACAGAATAAGTATTTGTTAAACATTTGTGGCATGAGAATTAATATTAGGCTATACAGTCTACACCAGTAGCAATACCACTCAGGAGAAGATGGGGAAGGTGGAAGGTACGTCTAGGACTAAGCATTCTAACAAATGCATTATGTGCCTACCAGTAGCTTGGCACTGGCAATTCAGCAGTGAGGAAGGCCTAGACTAAAGTTCAAGGAGCTTCTAACCTAGCAAAGGACAGGATTTTGAGCTGTGTGCTGGGGAGGTGAATTAGGGAAAGGGAGGAGCTCAAAGGATCCCAGGCTGGCACAGGTAGGTGGGCAGGATACAATGGTTTAATCAGAAATAGCGTAAGTTTGATCAGAAAATACAGAGCAAAAGGAGGACATGGCTATGTTCTTTCAACTCTATCAGATCTCAGTGATGAATTTCCTTCCTGAGAACCTATTGGTTGTGAAGACAAGAAAGTACCAATAAGACTCGGCACTCCTCCCTCTCATCCATAGAAAATGACCTTGCCTTTCTGCTCAAAACTGTTCCTTCTCTTCGCACTTTGTGACCTCATGTTTGTATCTTCCACTCTCAGTGCATGTTTCTGCTCAGTCTCTCCTGCAGCAGTACCTACTGTATTGGGCTCTTGGCTAGACCCCTGGGACTGCAGAAAGGAACCTTGCTCTCAAGGCATTTGTGGACACAGCCTGTGAACAGACCATGACTAAATAGTGTGATGAGTGCTGTGCCCCATGTACTGTGTTACCCCCAGGGTGTCAGCCTGAGGAGTCGGGGGTGGGGGTGGAGGAGGCTCCCCCTAGGCAGTGACCTACTAGAATCAAGTCTTAATGATTGGGCAAGAGCTTTCTGACACAAGAAGAGAGGGCCTGCCTTTAACTGAACAGCTGGTGCATATCCTCAGAGCCTTTGAGCCCGAATACCCTGGAAGGACTCCACCCCATCTCCTTTCCCCTTCAGCCAAGATCTAGTCACCACCCGTTCTCTAGCACCAGCTGCACTGCTCTGGCTGCATTAAGACTTGGCTGGAATGAAGAAAGAGTTAAGGAAGCTGCTGCACCACTGTGGCTGAGTGACACTGCCCAAGGCACCAGAAGGAGGAGGAGAAGTGCCTTATCCAAAAGGATACAGCAGCCTTCAGGTCTTATCAGACAGTAGCAGCTTCCTTACGCATTCCCCCACCTCTGACCAAGTCACAGCGTGTCACCACAGTGCAGGCAGCTGTGGGGGGAAGAGCAGTTGCAGAACTATGGGCTAGAGTGGAGGTGTACAGACCAGTTAATTCCTGGTTGGACTATGCCAAGCAGAAAGCAATGGTGGCTTAACAAGCATGGTAGTGGAAACGGGGTGAAGATTCAAAAGACATAGTGGAGAGGTAGAACCAACAGGATTGGTGATAAAGTACTCTCAGGAAAACGGAGGGAGGAGTAATGGCTTTTAGCCATAAGCATCCACCCCTGAGTGGCCTCACTGCCTTCCTGGCAATCCTAAAAGCCATATGGGTCCAGAGCCTATATAGCCCTTTGCTCTGCCTATATAGCCATTTACTCAGCAAATGGGTTCCAGTTTGATAAGCAAAGACTTCCTGTGGTGGAAACTGAAAGGAAGAGGAAAGAGCTTGCGCATTCCTGCCAAGAGGTTGTGGGAGAAGGACGATGGTCAGAGCTTTGTGTCCATTTCATGCCCTCTGGCTTCTGGAGTGGGTGCAGCTACTCTTGGGACCTGGCGCTGCCCCTCCAACCTCAGCCTTGAACCTGGACCCAGTGCAGCTCACCTTCTACACGGGCCCCAATGGCAGTCATTTTGGGTTTTCACTGGACTTCTACAAGGACAGCCATGGGAGGTGAGTTCTGGGGGAAGTTTGGGTGTCAAGAGAGATTGCCTTCACTGATTCTGTGGGTCTCGAACTCCCCATTTATGACAGAGGTTGAGCAAAGTGACTTCTAGGGTCTATTCAGTCTGAGCTCTTGTTACGAGCACTGGGAAGGGACTGGCTCAGGTGAAGGTGTCAGGGAGGCATGTCCATGGGAAGATGGGCACCAGAACTACAGCAAGAACAAAGGGATGACAAAGTTGATGACTCTCTCTTTCCCAAGGGTCAGTTGTATGACCCAGTCCATCCTTATCCCCTTAAAATATAGAGGAGCACATGTCTTAAATTGACTTGCAAAACTGTAAAATCATCTACCCACCCCCACCTCGCTTTTCTCCATTCCTCTGAACCCCATCAAAATTACAGATGTATGAAAGAAGCGGTAGAGCATTAATGGTTGGGCTTAATCAGGCTGTGAAATCAGACCCCCACGATTAGAGTCCTGGCTCCTCTTCTTTATAGTCACTGAGTATATATACCCTGAACTAGTTGCTCATCGTGGTGCACACTGATGTCCAACTTTGGCCAGAGACAACAGCACATTGCATTCCAGGATCAGCCCCTTGGAGAATTTCCTCTGCTGAAAAGAGCCGCCTCTCCTCAAATCCAGTTCCCTTCCCTGTGTGGCATACAACCAATGATGGACCAATGAGGAGAATTTAGAAAGGAGAGAAGTGGACACATCCCATCCTCTTGATTTGGGACAGTTCTAAAGGGTCTAGCTTCAGAGCCTCCAGGGTGTTGATCCATGACTGCAACTGGGCCAGAATCTCCACTCCACTCCTTTCTCTGCCCAATCCTGCTTCTTTCCCTTCCTTTCCACAGATACTGATCTTATGGGTACTATTTAATAAACATCCCATGGGCTAAAAAAAAAAAAAATTACAGCATTTTTTGAGCACTTGTTACATATTTGGCTGGCACCATGCAATGTCCCTCATACATTTCTTTTTATTTCTCCTGACAGTATTTAATATGGCCAACCTGTGATTTGAACGTAGATCTACTAGGGTCCCCAGTGATAACAGTACCCCACTTCCCACTTTAGAGATGCCCACTAGATTCCCTAATTCTTCACCATTAAACCAGCTCTCAAGAAGGGATCTTGTAACAGTCTAACATTCTAGGGAGCATATAAACGCCCCCACTTCTGGTGGAGGGGACAGTGGCTGGGGAGTTGTACATGGTGCTCAGAACTTGAGGTCTTTTCAGCAAGGATATCAAACCACTCGTATTAAAACCAGACAAAATGGCTAGTCCGAGCTTCACCCTTAACTCCCTGGGTTGCTATGCACATGTGGTTTCCCCTCGCTGGGAGTCAGTTTCATTGGTCACAAATGAAAACATTGACCTTGATGGTTGTGAGTCTCCTTGAAGAAAGATGATCCAGTGCCCCCCCCCCACCAAGGCACACCTCCAATCTGGATAGCACTCATGGCGCGGGAACGGCGGCCTGGGGTACCCCGGAATCCACGTCTCCTTCACCCAGCTTTTCCTATGCAGCGTGGCCATCGTGGTGGGCGCCCCGCGGACCCTAGATCAAAGCCGGAAGGAGACGGGCGGCGTGTTCCTGTGCCCCTGGAGGGCAGAGGGAGGCCAGTGCTCCTCTTTGCCCTTCGATCTCAGTGAGTTCCGAGCAAGGAGGGTAAGGGAGGGGCTATAAGAGGGATCGTGGACGGCCGGGCTTCAGCGTCCCACCTCTTCTTGTGCCCTCCAGATGATGAGATACGAAAGATAGACTCCCAAACTTTCCAAACCTTCAAGGCCCGGCAAGGCCTAGGGGCGTCGGTCGTCAGCTGGAACGACAACATTGTGGTGGGCGCCGCGAGTCAGAGCCCAGGGAGGAGTCGGGGACAGGGACACGTGGAAGGGGGAACCCGAGTGCCGCCCCTTCCCCACTCTCCTGTGGCCCTTCCCCCAGGCCTGCGCCCCCTGGCAGCATTGGAACGCCCTACATAAGAACGAGGAGACTGAGAAGACACCCGTAGGTGGCTGCTTCGTGGCTCAACTCCGGAACGGCGGCCGCGCGGAGTACTCGCCCTGCCGGGACAACACCATGAGCGGGATTTATGTGGCAAGTCGCTTCAGTGAGTTCCCCCTCCGTTTTGGCTCCGCCCACTAGCGGCCACTTAACCCCGCCCTCAATCTGATCCTTATCCCAGCTCCGCACGTCCTGCTTAAAAAACCTGCGTCGCCCAAAGGCCCAGTTCCAGGCCCCGGGGCACTCCGGGCGCTGATTAAAGGCCGCGCCTCTATACTACCCGTCATGGCCTCGCCCCCACTCCGCCCCCACCCCCAGGCTCGCTTGCACTCTCCTTGATGCACCCCTTCGCTCACCGCTCCTCCTTGTCTTCTCCAGACAACGACAAGCGCTACTGTGAAGTGGGCTTCAGCTCCGCGGTCACTGAGGCGAGTAGGGAGCACAAGCGGCATCGGGGCGTCCAAACAGGGCCCTATCTCACCTCCAGGGCTTCCTTTTCAGGCTGGAGAGCTGGTGCTTGGGGCCCCTGGCGGCTATTTTTTCGTAGGTAGGTGCCCATCGGTACACTTCCCGCCCTTCTCTCGGCCCCGGGTATGGTCTCTGGGCCTCCACACCCTCCGTCCCTCGCGCCCTAGGTCTCCTGGTGCGGGCGCCAATTGCGGATATCATCTCGAGTTACCACCCGAGCACCCTCTTGTGGAACGTGGGCACCCAGAGTGCCACCTTCGACTCCGGCAACCCAGAGTACTTCGACGGCTACCGGGGTAACTCTGGCACCTCCCTTCTAGGTTTCCCAGCACTCTGACACCTCCCCACCGTCGGCCAGGTGCTGCTCCTGCGGGAGCATTCCCATCCCCGGCCGGCTGGCCGGCCCCAGCGCTAAGGCCCCTCCCGCTCCCGCAGCTTCCCCCGCAGACCATCCAGCTCCCACTCGCCCTGCCCGCCCTGGATTCGCTGCGCATCTGGGGCAGGTCGTGGCCTTTCCGTGGCCTCAGTTTTCCCGTATACACAACGCATGGTTTGGACTGGGTGGTCTCTTGAGGGCCCTCCTTCCTCGCCCTCGGCCCCTCCCTGCTTTGCCCTCCTGGAAAGACTAATTTGCGCTCTGTCTTCAGGGTACTCAGTGGCCGTGGGCGAGTTTGACGGGGATCTCAGCACTACAGGCAAGAAACCCATTTAGGCAACAAGGGTCGGGGAGGCCAGCTCCGGGAAGAGCGCCTCCAAACCCGTCACTGCAGCCTCCCCTGAGTGCGGAACAGCGGGTGGGAGGTGGGTGGGTTCGAAGGACCTCATTCTCCCGGGCGACTCTCCCCAGAGTATGTGTTCGGTGCCCCTACCTGGAGCTGGACCCTGGGAGCGGTGAGTGCCCCCTGACCCCACCCACCGCTCGGCTTCGCGAAGTCCCCGGCCCCGCAACCCCTGCTAAATCTCCTGCCCTTTGCACCCTGAGCGAGCGGCTGCGGGGCGGGCAAGAATGACGCGCTGCAACCTGTGCGTTGTCCGCGCAGGTGGAAATTTTGAACTCCTACTACCAGACGCTGCAACGGCTGCATGGAGAGCAGGTGGGGGCCGGGTCCCGGTGTGTGTGTGTGTGTGTGTGTGTGTGTGTGTGTGTGTGTGTGTGTGTGTGTGTGTGTGTACATACGGTGGATTGGGACCGTAGAATACTCCGCAAGGTGTGACTGACGATGTATAAGAGAGAATGCGGGTCCGGGGGCGGCAATTAAGGTGCGCCTCGGCTTCCTGCAGATGGCTTCGTATTTCGGGCACTCGGTGGCAGTCACTGACGTCAACGGGGACGGGTGAGGAAGGGGGCGCCCCACGCCTACCCATTTGGGTCTCCAATACCAGAGGGCTTCATTGCCCTCCATCTCCTCCTTTCCCAGCCCTCTCCCCCACGTGAGTGGAGGGGACCAGGAGGGCGAGGATGGCCGAGATTTGGCCCCAGCCCGCCGCATACCTCTAAATCCACCCCACCGAACCGCCCATCTGGCCTACAGGAGGCACGACCTGCTGGTGGGGGCGCCACTGTACATGGAGAGCCGCGCGGACCGCAATCTGGCCGAGGTGGGGCGCGTGTATCTGTTCCTGCAGCCTCGAGGTCCCTATGTGCTGGGCGCTCCCAGCCTCCTGCTGACTGGCACTCAGCTCTACGGGCGATTCGGCTCAGCCATTACGCCTCTGGGCGACCTCAACCGGGATGGCTACAACGGTAAAGGAGGAGAGGAGCCCCACTTGCTGTAGAAGGGTTAACAGCCACAGCAAGGACCATAGATTTGATCTGAGGGCAGCGGGAACCCGGAAGGGCTTTAAGCAGGAGAGAATTAAAGGAGACCAAATGGGATTTGCTTGCATTCGCCCAGGCAGGAGATGATGGCCGCCTGGACGTGGATCCTGGCAGTGGAGTTAGAGATGAGGGTGATTTCACAGATTTTTAGCACTTGGATTATTAGTGACTGGCTGTGGGGCCAAAGGAGGGAGAGGAGGTGGGCTGAGTGCTGCCTTCACCATCTGGAACTCAGGCCATGCAGTGGGCTGGGGAGGTGATATGGGGGCAGATCAGCAGGTCAGCTCTGGGCTTTTTGATCTTATTTAAGGGCTTGGGAACATTAGGCAGACATGTCCAGAGAAGAGTCGAGTGTGGCTTCCCTCACTTCCACCGGAGAGGTCTGAGTGGGATGTAGGGACTTGGGAACAGTGGGTTGAGGAAGTGAGAAGAGGTCCGGGACACAGCCTGGTGAACAAGAGCATATAGGGGACTCCCAGAGGATGTGAGTCTGCAAAGGGGACAGAGGAGTGTCCAGAGAGGGAGGAAGGAAACCAAATGTGACAGCCCAGAACTCAAAGGAAAAGAGCCCTTTACACAGTAGGAAGGGGTGTCAGCAGTTCCAAATGCTGCTAAAGGGTGGGCCTGGAAAGGTATCCATAGGCTTTAGCAGGAAGGAGGTCATTGGTGACAATGACAAGAACTGATTCAGAGCTGGGTAGGAACAGAAGCCAGAATGCCATGGGATAAGGTATGAATAGAGATGAAGAATTGGAGGCAGCCAGTGTAGCTAGTGTGTTCAACCAGTTTGGGAATGATATGGGAGAACAGATGGTTAGTGAATGGAGAGGAGGGTCAAGGGAAGGTTATTTTAATTTCTCAGAACATGGAGTAGGTGAAAAGTGGAGGAAAGTGATCTTGTAGGAAAATGGGGGTTAGGGAGAGTGAGCCAGAGGAGCGTCCCTGCAATGCCTGGTGGATGTGGGGTTGGGATACTCAACTCAGTGGCAGGGTAAAGGGATGTGTGTGGATTTATAGTGCAACACTTGGGTTGCTTCCCTTTGTGAAGGAAGTGGGGGGGCTTGGGAGCTTGACAGAATGGAGAAGGTTTGACATAGGTGCTGAGCAGACTAGGAGAGGGATCCGAGGGATCAGCAGGCTGCTGGGCAGCATGGAGGCCCCTAGTGGAGGCTGGAAGTCAGGACCTCATGATCCCCTATCTGGTGGAGTCTGACCAGGTTTTCCCAGGACTGACAATGGGACAAAACAGCTGAGGATGTGGCAAGGGTGATTGATTGGTCAAGAAATAAGTGAAGAGATGAGGAAGCCAAAGATCAGGAGGCAGTGGAGGCCCAGGGCCTGGGGGTCAGACTGTGGTCAGAGTAGTCTATTTGGGTAAATTCCATGTAACTTGATTAGAAAAATCAATAATGACTTTTAAAGGAAAAAAACTGAACAGAAAATAAAATCTGAAGACAAAGGAAACAGTTACAATGTACATATCAAAGATCTTAGTTTCTGTCATATGCAAAGAATGCTTACAAATTAATGATAATGATGATTAACTAATTTTTATGAGTCATCATAAAAGTTATTAGTAATGGCAAGCCCATGGTGTGGCGCTGGGTTTGCGTGGTGGAAGGGGAATGGAGTGAAGGTTCCTTGGGAAAGAAAGGGCCATGATGTAATAGGACTTGGTTACTTAATCTTCTGGGACTCATTTTCTCATCTAAAATGGGAATGACAATGCCTGATCTTCAGGATTAAATGAAATGTCAATATGTTTTCTCAAAAGATACTGAGGGCTGTTATTTTTTTATAATAATCCTACTTGATAGGTCTCTCTCCTACTCAACTGTAAACTCCTGGAAGGCAAGGCACCTGCCCCCTTGACCTAGACCTTTGCATCCTTCTCCTGGTCCCCTGGGGTCTACCCAGAGAAGAAGCTTGGGAAAATTTTACAGGGCTGCCTGGAGAAATTGGTTAACCCGCAGCCACTCTCTTTCTGTTGCTCCTTCCAGACATTGCAGTGGCCGCTCCATATGGGGGTTCCAGCGGTCGGGGCCAGGTGCTGGTGTTCCTGGGTCAGAGTGAGGGGCTTAGCTCACGCCCCTCCCAGGTCCTGGACAGCCCCTTCCCCACAGGCTCTGGCTTCGGCTTCTCCCTGCGAGGTGCCACAGACATCGATGACAATGGATACCCAGGTGCTCTGGAGCCTCCAACTAGACAAGGAGGGCCGTTGGGAATTAACTGGCTATGCTTTAGAGACACAGCCAAGGGCCTTGCCTGACTTTGTGACCCACTGAGAACTCTGACCCAGCTGTGGGGCTAGGAGGCGGGGGTAGTCAGGTCAGACTTCCAATGGAGGAAGTGGTGTGGGAAACCCCTGAGAAAATGGGGTGAGAACCCCAGGCCCTCTCTAATGACCAATTCTAACCACCACCGCCCCCTTTTCTACAGACCTACTGGTGGGAGCTTATGGGGCCAACAAGGTGGCTGTGTACAGGTGAGCACTGGCTCCATGGGCAGGTGCGGGGGCACACCATCACAGGAGCCCAGGTCAGGGAGGGCCACAACGGAAAGCCTCCCTCCATCCCACCAGAGCCCTGCCCGTGGTGATGACCACTGTCCAGCTGCTGGTGCAAGATTCTCTGAATCCTGCTGTGAAGAAATGTGTTCTGCCCCAGACGAAGACACCAGTGAGCTGGTAAGGAGGCGGAGGGCACGGGCCAGGCAGGATCTGGGACCTCAGGAAGGCCCTAGCTCCTGAGCCCCACACATGTCTTTGCAGCTTTAATATCCAGATGTGTGTGGGAGCCACTGGGTACAACATTCCTCAGAAGCTGTGTGAGTGTCATGGTGGAGACAGGAGGGAGGTGGGCCTGGGCTCTCCTAGAGGCTGGCCAGAGAGACCCTGACCCTTTCTGCCTGTCCTGCCAGTCTTGAATGCCGAGCTGCAGCTGGACCGGCAGAAACCCCGCCAGGGCCGGCGAGTGCTACTGCTGAGCTCTCAACAGGCAGGCACCACCCTGCACCTGGATCTGGGTGGGAGGCACAGCCCCATCTGCCACACCACCACTGCTTTCCTCCGAGTAAGTCTGGACTGGGGATGGGCGGGGATGGGTGTATGAACTTGTTCACCTCTGGCCCTGGACCATGAACTGGGTGCTGCGGGTTCTGGGCACTCAGTGGAACATGCATGGTACGATGCATGGTAGCAAGATGGCCTGACTCTTGTTCCCTTCTCAGGATGAGGCTGACTTCCGGGACAAGCTGAGCCCCATAGTGCTCAGCCTCAATGTGTCCCTGCAGCCCGAGAAGGATGGAATAGCCCCTGCTCTTGTGCTACATGGAGATACCCACGTCCAGGAGCAGGTGGGGGCAGGGCAGGGCAGTTAAGGGAGGTGGAGGACCCTTCCCAGAAAGTGAGGGTTAGGGTTAGTGTCCAAATTGTAATGTGAACTCTAAAACCTTGGCGTCACCTTTAATCTTGAAATTAAAACCTAATCTCTAAAAGATGTCACTCTAAACCCTAACAAAATATCAATATCCCCTGAACTTGGTGGAAATGCCAGGTGTTGATGTTACCTCTAAACTCTGATCTAAATCCACAAACCCTGATGTCACTACCCAAACCCTATCTTCATCCTAAACTCTGGTGTCATTCCCAAACTCTGTTTATTCTCAGACCTTCTAACTCCTTAAGCCCTGTTGTGACCCCTCCAGACTTCACATGCACCCAATTTATCCATATACCCTGATGTGCCCCCTCTAGACCCGAATCATCCTGGACTGTGGGGAAGATGACCTGTGTGTGCCCCAGCTCCAGCTCACTGCCAACGTGTGAGGAGGCCTCCCATGCCACCCTACCCTGGTCCTACCTGCCCCAGTGACACACATCCACTCTCCACCTGGGGCCTGATACTCTGTCCTCAGCCCTTCTCTTCCTCCCAGACCCTGGGCCTCGATCTGCCTTTTTGGCTTTACTCGTTTCTCCCCATAGGAGAGGTTCTCCACTCCTAATTGGAGCTGATAATGTGCTGGAGCTGCAAATGGACGCAGCCAATGAGGGTGAGGGGGCCTATGAGGCTGAGCTGGTTGTACACCTGCCCCCAGGTGCTCACTACATGCGGGCCCTCAGCAACATGGAGGTGAGACCCCCACCCCAGGGGCATTACCAGGGATCTGGGAGGTATAGGAGCTCCTGCTTCTCTTGTGCTTTCCTATAACAACTGATTGATTTTTTCTAAATTTAGAAGACAAGTACTTGCTAATGGCACAAAATTCAAGGACTCTGTTATAAAACCCAAACCAAAAATGGCCCAGGAACTAAGTGTTAACAGGAGCCTCTGTTAACATTTGGTGGATTTCCTTCCAGGCTTTTTTTTTCAGCATTGACAGATGCTCACATAGATACATATTTATTTTGTTGTGGTTTATCATGGCAGGGTCATACTCTATGTAATGTTTGTGTTTTTTCTTTCCAAAAAATTTCGTAAAAAATAATAAGGTACCATAGTAATACATAAAGAGGAATGTGACAGTGCCATGCACTCCCAGCCCAGGAATCCTCCCCTTCCACCCTAGCACACAAGTTTTTCCCAGACTTTCCAAGGGAGCTCAAATTTAGATGAGAGGTTCTGTAACCATACTTTTTTTTTCTTGGAACTGGCTCCCTGAAGGGTTTTGAGAGGCTTGTCTGTAACCAGAAGAAAGAGAATGAGACCAAGGTAGTGCTGTGTGAGCTGGGCAACCCCATGAAGAGGAATGCCCAGGTGAGGCCAGCAAGTCCCTGGGTGCTGGGTCTTCTACCGGGGGCTTACCGGCAGCCAGGTGTTAGGAGCTGTGTTTGGAGTCAGATAGCTCTGGGCTGGAATCCTGGTCTTTGCATTCCCTAGCTGTGTGTCCTTACGTGTGTTCTCGGGTGAGTGACTTTCCCTCTCGAAGTGGAATTCTGAGTAAAATGAAGATCATCCTGGTGACCTTGGAGGGCGATAACTGGAGGCCACGGGGCTGCCGGGAGTGGGCATTTGGGCAGTGACTTTGGCCATCTCCATCTCTCAGATAGGAATCACAATGTTGGTGGGTGTGGAGAACCTGGAGGAGGCTGGGGAGCATGTGTCCTTCCAGCTGCAGATCAGGAGGTACTGGATGGGGGAGCACTCCTACCCACCACCCTACCCCTATCTGATCCCAATGCAGAGACCCTCAGGTGCCCTCCATCCAGAAGGGTTTTCTGGGATGCTTGCCCATCAGACTTCCCCATTCCCTTTGTTCCTCAGACACTTGCTTCTGAGTCTTGGAGCCCTAGAGGAAGTTCTTTCCCAGGTCTAACTTCAGTTTGTGGAGCTGGCTCTCCCTAAGCCCTCTGATATTCTGGCCCCAGCCCAGAGAATCCCGATGTTCACTGGGCTGGTGCCCTGACCTGCTTCTTCTCATCCCTTCCCCTCCAGCAAGAACAGCCAGAATCCTCACAGTGAGACTGTGCTTTTGGATGTGCCAGTCCGGGCAGAGGCCCATGTGGAGTTGCGAGGGTGAGCTGGGGTGGGTAAGGGAGATGGCAGGCAGAGCCCTAAGATTCAGACTGCCCTGGGGGAACCCCCACAGGCAAGTCAGGGGATCAAGCTCGCTCTGGGGACTCGGGGCCCTGCAGGAACTCCTTTCCAGCCTCCCTGGTAGTGGTGGCAGAAGAAGGCAACAGACAGAATAGCTCCAACAGCCAGGGCCCCAAAGTGGAGCACACCTATGAGGTAGGGAGGAGTCTCCAGACCCCAGGCTGGGGTGGGAGGGTCCCAGGAGCTACGGTCTGAGTGCTGAGCCACCTAACGTCCTGCCTCCTCACCACCACCAGCTCCACAACAAAGGCCCTGGTACTGTAAGTGGCCTCCGCCTCTACCTCTGCCTCCCTGGCCAGTCCCAGCCCTCTGACCTGCTCTACATCCTGGACATACAGCCCCAGGGGGGACTTCAGTGCTCCTCACAGCCCTCTCTCAACCCACTGAAGGTAAGAGCCTGGATGGAAGAAAGAACTGTGGGTGGTCTGCAGCCCATCAACCGGAGCACCTCTCGGAAGGTGGGGAGATGGGCAGAGTGTGGGCTCTGACTGCTTCTTTGCTGTCCCAGCTGGACTGGGGTCTGCCCACCCCCAGCCCTTCCCCCCAGGCCCATCACAAGCGGGAGCGCAGACAGGTGTTCCTGCCAGAGCAGAAACAACCCTCGAGGCTTCAGGATCCAGTTCTTGTGGTGAGCAGGCTCTGCGGTCTCCAGCTGGGGCCTCCCTGGGACCCAGGGGCAGAGGGATGGGAGGCAGGGAGCTGCAGGGGCTGTGACCTGGGCTTCCGATGGACCAGCTTGGCCACAGAGTACTCCACGGAATATAAAGGACTGTGCCTGTCTGGTGTCTAGGACAGAGTGGGGGCACTTGCACTTTTAAAGGTTCCCAGTACATTTAAGAAAATGATTAAATGCCAAAACAGAGCTACAGAAATTCTGGGTATTGAATGCTGGATGATGACCTGTTTCTCCCCACTTCTCCTGCATCTTTGGGACTGTGTGAGCAACTGCATGTAGAGAGAACATCCGAAGCTTGAATCTGAGACCCCGAGGGAGAGGCCTGAGCTCTCTGACTGCCCTCTTCGGCCCCCCTCTCTGCTGGGCCCTTGAGGGATGAAGGGTCAGAAGGGGCTGAGGACTAATGACGCATCCCCGCAGAGCTGCGACTCGGCGCCCAGTACTGTGGTGCACTGTGAGCTGCAGGAGATGGCACGCGGGCAGCGGGTCATGGTCACCGTGAGAGCCTTCCTGTGGCTGCCCAGCCTTCACCAGGTGGGGCGGGATGCCGGTGGGCGGGGCTTTCTGGAGGCGGGACCGAGTGTGCTCTGGGGAGAGGCGGTACTTCAGGAAACTGGAAGGGAATGCGGGCTAGCTTTACTTTGGGCGGGGCGAGTCTGGGGCTGGGACTCCTGCAAGTAGGCCTCGTGTAAATAGCATTCATCCCCGAGGTATCCAGAGGCCCCTGGACCAGTTTGTGCTGCAGTCCCACGCTTGGTTCAATGTCTCTTCCCTCCCCTACGCCGTGCCTGCCCTCCGCCTGCCTAGTGGGGAAGTTCAGGTGAGTATGGAGGATTGGTGGCGGGAGAGATGGATCCTACAGGACTCATTGGCCTTCCCAGGGGCCCTTGACCAGCAGGATGGGGGTGGAACTTCTTGGGCCTCAGGGGTGAGAAAGGTAGGTGGTTTGGCTGGGGGTCACAAGGAGACACGTCTTTGGGAAAGACAGGTGTTAGTGTGACTGAGAAGACACATTGGATTGCCCCCAGGTGGAGACGCAGCTGTTTCGGGTCTTGGAGGAAAGAGACATTCCCATGTGGTGGGTGCTGGTGGGTGTGCTTGGTGGCTTGCTGTTGCTCACACTCCTGGTGCTGGCCATGTGGAAGGTGAGGAATGAAGGGAAGTGGGGATGGTCCCCAGGTGGGCACAGGCTTGGCCCTGTTACTCACAAGGAGGCAGAGAGAGATGGTGGCCACAATGGGTGACCCTGGCCCATGTGCTCTACAGCTCCACTATTAGTGTCATTCTCCAGTGGGCACAGCCTTTTCCCCTTTTCCCCCCTGAGAGGAAGAATCACAGGAAACAAGTCCTGCCTTCGGGACTGCCCTGGCTGCTGAGGAGGGCAGGGCTCCCCTCCGCCAGTTCTGGCCCTACCCCTGACTGAGGTGGAAGGCACAGGTCTGATCTAGACCCTGTAGGGAGGCCCTGGTGGGTCACTCCCTTCCTCTGCACCTGAAAAACAAACTGGTTAAAATGCAGTGCTCAATCCCTGGGAAGTCATGGTACTCCCCGGGAAAAGCACACATTAGACTTACAATAATCAAACACATACCATCATGCGATTGAGTCACATAAACATAATCGTAAGTATTTAAGAAAAAGATTCAGGGGAGAAAAGCCAAAATTCCTTTCAAACAACTTGTTACATGCATTATCTGTAAACAGGGGAAAGGCTTCCATTTGTGCATACAGTGGGGTCCATGCTGTGTGCTGGTTCGGGGAGAGGATCTAGAGGCTGGCTGGTGTGTGCTGCTCTGGGATCTAAGGATCATCTTTACACCCTGCCCCCTGCCCCTGTGTGCCCACAGGTTGGCTTCTTCAAGAGGAATCGGCCGCCCCTAGAAGCAGATGAGGAGGGAGAGTGAGAGGGCGGCCCATGCGCTGTCCTAACTAGAAGGCTGGATGTAGTGCCTCCTCTGCCCCTCTTCTCCAACGAGTGCCCCCCAGCTCTGGTCACTCACAGGTTGGAGCTCCATGGAGGCCTTCTGATGACCTCCCCCTCCTATCAGAACTGGGCCCCCCCACTTTCCCACTACCTAATAAAGAGGCCGAGCCCCAGCCCCCAGTGTGCTGCTTCCTCTTGGAGTCAGAGGAGGGCCCAGGTGATACTGGGAGTGGGGACCAGGGGCTGGTGGAGGTGTGAGCTACAGGGTCTCTGCCAGGGAAAAGGTTGCAAATTACTGTCCTTGGGAAGTGGAGAGTGAGGGTGGAGCAAGGGCCTCCAGTTGAGACTGAAGGTGGCAGGAGGGGAGCCTTGGGGAAGGCGGGCTAGGTCCCTGATGGGCAGCTTTAAACGGTGTTTTTTTCTTGATTTTGGAGAGATGAACGTCAGATGACCTGAGATTTGGAGAATTCATACACTCTCCCCTCTCCTGTAACATAAAGCCTTCAAAGCTGGTTGGGAGTGAGGAGGGGCAGAGGAGGCTGCCTGAGCCCTTGCCTGAGGAGGGCAGTGGCCCACCGGGAGAGGAGAGCAGGTACTCCTGTCTGGCTTCCCTGCTGCTATTCCTTCTCCGCCAGCAAGGAGAAGGGTCTCCAGTTAGGAACTCTCAGGAGGGCAAGGAGCAGACCATAATTCTCCTCTCTGCCAAGTATAGAGTCAGGGGCTTGGGGAGGGTGGGGGGAACCTGCAGTCCTGAGAGATTTTTGTGGATTCACGTGTCCAGTATTTGTTGGTCACTTTCCACATGCCCAGTACTATCCCAGTACAGTCCTGGGATGGAGCAGTGAATGAAACAAAGACCCTGTCCTCATGGAATTTATGTTCAACCAAGGGTAAAGAATAAACAAACCAATGGTGGTCAGTGCTGGGAGCAAAAATAAGGTAAGGAGATAGTGATAGAATTATTTGGATGTTGACATTTTAGGCAGCATGGTCAGGGAAGGCCTCTCTGATGAAGTGAGCAGAGATGAATGAATGACAGGCAGCTCACAGGAATAAAGTGCCCTGGACAGAAAGAGCAGCCAGTGAAAAGACCCTGAAGTGGGAGCAGGTTTGATGTGTTCAAGTGAAAAGGAGGCCCATGGGCTGCAGGTGGGTGAGGGGTTCAGATGAGGTCAGTGGTAGGGGACAGGCAGGCAGCACTTTATGACCATGGGGAGGATTTTTACCTGAAGGGGTAAAAGGCAAATCCTGAAAAGAACAGAACAATTTGACATCCATGCATGGCAAGTTCCAGAACAGGTTTCTAGTTGGGTGGCTGTGACCACTTAGGAAAAAATTAAGCTGTGATCCTTGAACACCAGCCAAACTCCCTCCTCCCTCTGCCATTGCAATTGGATGGTCCCAGACAATTTATCTTGATCCACAGCATTTGGCATTTGTCCTTTATAGACAAGACAGAAATGTGAGCTGCATGATAAAGACTTGGATTTAAGACCAAACAATTTTGATTGAGCTGAGGGAGATATCTATGGGGTCCCAAAGCTCCATCCTGGCCCTGGGCTGCCTGGTATTGTCATGAGTCCCTTGACCGGAGGCAGGAAAGCTGCTCCTCATCTTGCTGATGGCTGCTGGCTGGGAGGGGGCTTCAGCACAATGGGTGAAGCAGGTTCAAGGCAGTCTTGACAGGTTGTAAAGTTGGGTTGAAACCAATAAGATGAAATTCACCAAGGATGAGTGCTAAATCCTGTGCTGAAGTTGTGAAAAATTGGCTACATAAGAACAGGACTGGGAAATCTGCTTAGATGGAAATGTACGAGAAAGAAAGAACATGAGGGAGGGAAGAGAGAGGAAGGAAAGAGGGAAGGTGGAAGGAGGGAGAGAGGAAGGAAGGGAGGAAGGCAGGAAGGAAGGCAGGCAGGCAGGCAAGAATCTGGTGGTTTTGTCCACAGGCTCATAGCAAAGTCCCCTTAAGTCATCAGACCCAGCCAGGAGAGAAGCCTGCTGTCCTCTGGTGAGTGAGGTGTCCAGTCCCTCTGTGGCACCACACTGTGAGGAAGAGGAGACAAACCAGAGAGAATCAAGGCAGGGACACCAGATTAGATGAGGATTTGGCCACCAGAAACTGAATGATGATGACAGCCAGAAACTGGAATGAGAGCTTGGCTGGGGCTAGGGCAGGCTTCAAATGTGAGCCCACGTGGGGCTCAATGGCTAAGGACAAAGGAAAAGACTCTTGTTTGCCATTCAGGAACTAGAGCTAATGGGACCTACCGTCATTCTCAGTGGAAGAGAAAGGCTGCTTCCATCTTTAGAAATTTTCCTAAGCATTAAACACTGTCCAGCAATGGATCTTATTACCTGGGTGGAGGTGAGCGCCTACCTCACCCTGGACCAACAATAATACCACTGATTGTGCCCCTGCTCCTGTCAACCATGAGCTAGACCTTTTATATCATTATCTCATCTCATCATTACAGTAAGTCCGCAAGGTGGAGGTTATTACAATTCTCACTTTGAAGGAAGGCTGAGGCCTAGAGGCTAAGAAACTCGCTCACGGTTCAATAAGAGGCAGAAGCTGGACAAGAACTGGGACTGATTCCCAAGGAGGCTGCACACCATCTCCCCAACGTGTTTGTGCAGAGAACCAAGCAGTTTTCAGATTTTCTGGAGACACTCGGGACACAGTTCGTACCTCTTTGAGTGTTGCAAGCAATTGCCATTTCCCCTCCCAAAATTTTGCACCGAATTTCGAGGGCTCTGGAACTCCAAGAGTCCCAGAGATTGGATCCCATACACTCGCTGGCAGCTCCGGATCTGGGAGCGCGGGGTGGGGGCCGCGAGGCGAGCGGAGGGCGGGCCGGGCGGGCGTGCTGCGCGCAGAGCGGGGCAGTAAGGGGGCGGTGCCCGGAGGCCCGACGTTAGGGCGCCGCCTGCAGGGGGCGCTGGCGGCGGCTCCGGGCGGAGACAATCGCGCTGGGAGGCGGTCGCAACCAGAGTGGGAGCCCGAGCGGTGCGGCGCAGACCTGGGGCTGAGCGGGACCCGCTGAGCGGGGCCGGGCGGGAGCCATGGGCCGTTAGGGCCGGGCCGAGCCCCGCAATGCCGCCGCCGAATGGCCCCAGCGTCCTCGCGCGGCTGCTGCCGCTACTGGGGCTGCTACTCGGCGGCGCCTCCCGTGCTCCCGGCAAGTCGCCGCCGGAGACCCCCAGCCCGCAGGGTGAGTCTCCGCCAGGAGGGGCAGAGACCGCAGGCCTGTCCCCCTCATCGTGCTCCCTCCCGCCAGCCCCCACTTCGTGGATCTTGTGAATTGGGGGGTATTCCATTCCCTGGATTTGAGTGGGGGGAGCTAGGGGTCCTGGTCGGCGCTTACTCGGGAGAGGAAGGAGGGAGAGGGAGACTGTCGAGGCGGGGGTCTGGGGGAGACACAATGGGGAGAGAGGGGATCCCCAGGCTCCGCGCCGCCGCCCCCTCCCGCCTTGTTTTTCTCCCTCCTGGTCCTCGAGGCGCTGCTGCCTGAGCCATTGTCTACCGAAGACACCCGCCCAGGGGCGGGCTGGGACGGGCGCCCGCTCCGCAGCCCCCTGCGGGTTGCTCGCTGCCGTCCCTGGCTGGGTGGGCGGGCACGCAGCGGCTGCCACCCTGGGCCCGGACGGGGACAGGGCGCCTAGAGCTGGGTCTGAAGGGGGGAAGGAGGAAGGAGGAGTGGGTGAGGCGGTGGGCGGATTGACTGCGCGAATGGGGTTCTTCGCCCTAGAGCCTGACAGCCCCCAGCCGGCGCCCCGGGCTCAGAATCGGGGACGAACCAAAGAAACGCTGATCAGCCCATGCCAAGGAGGGGCTGCAGTTGGCATGGGGGGCTCTGGCAAAAGGCGTACGTTGTGATTCCCAGCTCAAGGCGCATGGCAGGGCCGTGGTGGGGGAGCCATGCTGAGCTGCCTAACTGGCTGAGGGCAGTGCCGGCTGGGAGGGCAGGTGTCTGGGTCCCCGTCCAGCAGGCCTCCGGCTGCTCCTGTCCACAACCTACCCCTCAGGTCACCGCCTCCTCACCTCACCTCTCCATCGCAGTGGAGGAGGCCCTCCGGCCCTCACAGGCCCAGGTGGGTGTGTGAGGTGGGGGTGAGGTCGCTCCTGCAGCGAGAGAGCTAGACTAAGCTTCTACCGACTTCCAGGCCGGCTCCCCACTCGTCTTTTTCCTGCTTCGCAGCCTCCGGCCCACCACCCCAGCTTCTGCTCCCTCCTCTCCCGCCTCTGGACCCCATCTCTGCCTGAAACAGTGGTGCTCTACATTCCCATCTCCCCACCAAGGGGCTGGCAGGAAAAGCAGGGTGGGGGGTTCCTGATGAGGGAAGTGGGGTCCGGAGGAAGGGAGAGGGTCGGATTTCCTCCTGGAATGAGGCAGGGCTGAAGCCAGGAGAGGCGGATACTGTATGGAATGTCAGGCTTTGAGGAATGGCTTTCTCCTCTGGTCTCAGTCTTCCCCGCTCTCTGCTCTAGGAGAGGAGACTTTGATGGGTAGGAAAGGGCCTTGGTTTCTCATGAGCCTCTCCCTCAAGTGCTGCACCTTAGAGGAGGGTGTTGGCTGGAGTATCGCTAGGATAGGGGGCTCCCCCAGGCCACTGGCTGGGGCCCAAGATGAGGGGAAAGGGGAAGGGAATCTATGAGGCAGGCACCTGACCACCTGCTCCCCAGCTTGGCACTGAAGTCTCTTTCGGAAAATGCCCAGCCCCGTGTTCTTCCCCTGCCCTTTTCCGAGGCATCGGCCATTGAACCCAAGGCCTTCTCTTAATGGCCATATTCCAGACTCCTGGGTCCCCTCTTCCCAGTTGCTCCACCCAGTTGCTCCTAGCCTGGGGTAGGGGTGGGGAGTAGCCAGGCCCCTTTAAGCCTCTCAGAATTCCTGCTGGTTGGTAGTTATCACAGGGGTGCTGCCAGTTTCTGGGAGACCCAGAGAGCAGGGAAGGGTCAAGTGTGTGCACCCACTGTGCCCACGTGGGCTCTGGCCTGGGAGGAGAGAGGGAGGTGGGCTCAGGCGAACAGCTGGCTGGGATGCCAGGGGCAGGCGTGGTGCTGGTCCTGGGTCGGAAGCCTGAGATAAGACACCTGTCACTGTTGAGTATCAGGCTCCACTCATGGGGCCCCCTCACCTCCCAGTGCCCTGCTGCTCTCAGCTCCAAGCTCTGCTTTCTGTACCTGGATCCCCTAGGGTAGTGTCCAGCACTGAGCCCATTCCCCACCTGCCTCCTGGGCCCTGCACTGAGGCCTCTGTACCTTTCCAGGCATGACACATACTCCCATTATTAGCAGCAAGGTAGGGGTGAGGCAGTTCTTGAGGGAGGGGCTGCACTGAGTGGATAGCGTGAATGGTACTATGGATCAGAGAGGCTGCCTGGGGAATCCATGAGAACAACTCAAATCCTGGTCTCTTACACACACACGCATACCCTGCATCCCCTGTCACCCCACCTGAGTTCAGATCACCTCAGGCTTATCCTGGTCAGACTATCCTGGGACCAGGGGCAAGGCAAGACTTGGACTTTCCTTCCCAGCCCCCTCCACACCACTTTCCCATGGGCCTGGGTCGGTCCCCCAGATCTCCTTCCCCTTGCCAGGGCCCCAGCTCTCTGCCCATCTCCTGGGAGGAATGAGGGCGTTGCCATGGTGACTGACTGTAGCTGACCAGCTGGGAGGGGGCGGGGAGTATGTATGAGGAGGAGGGGTCAGGAGGTACTTGTTTGGGCCCAGGGGTTGAGATGACTCCCTAAATCTGAAAGGAAACACTTGTGCAAAGGATTCTGGGAAGAGGATTAATGAAGGGAACAACCAGCTCCCTAGTGTCCCCTTCTTAGTTTTTTCTTGAGAATTCAAACTCTGACCCAGCCCACCTTCCTCCCTTCCAAATGGCTGAATCTTGACCTCTCTCCTCTCCACTTGCAGATGTTTCTCCATTTACTTATCCTCTCTCAGCCCCTCCTTCCCTCTCCTCTCCATGACACCAGCCCCCTAGGGTCCAGCGGTGCAGAATTCGGGTCTAGAGGCAGACTCCCAAGTTTGGATCCCAGATCTCCCACTTAACTGTTGTACAAGTATCTAAATGCTTTTGCACCTCAGTTTCTTTATCTGCAAAATGGCCTGAGAACATATTTTATCAAATCTAATACATCATTGACTGTAAGATGCACCATTATTTCGTGTACCAGTAAGAAAGGGAAAAAATGCTGCCAATTATAATTATGTCACCATCAATCACAGGCATAGCCTGAGTTCAGAAATGCTAAAATGTGGAAAAAGCCCATGTGTTAGACTTGGTGAAATATGGCAATAACACCACCTACCTCAAAGGCGAATGTGAGGTTAAAATGAGGACTTTTTAAGTGCTGGCTCTTGTATCTTGTGTAGGCTCATCCCAAAGCTGCTCTCAAGCTACAGCCCCCTCCTCTGATCACAGGGCTCTCTCATTACCTCTTGCCCCTCCCTTCTCCTCACTCTCTTCATCTCACCTTGCCCACAGAGATCCTGATCAAGGTGCAGGTGTATGTGAGTGGAGAGCTGGTGCCCCTGGCCCGGGCCTCAGTGGATGTGTTTGGGAACCGGATGCTGCTAGCTGCTGGTACCACGGACTCAGACGGCGTGGCCACACTGCCCCTCAGTTATCGCCTGGGCACCTGGGTGCTAGTCACAGCTGCCCGCCCTGGCTTCCTCACCAACTCTGTGCCCTGGCGTGTTGACAAGCTGCCCTGTGAGTGCAGGGGCAGGTGGAGGGGCAGGGGCAGCAGCTGACCCCATCAGCCCCTTCCCAAAATAGTCCCAGGGGTGGAGGGGGCAGGCTTTCCAGCAGCTGCTGCCTGGGCTGGGGTACACAGAGCAGACCGAGGGAGGATGAAGTCACCAAGATTCAGATGGAGGGAATGCCGGGGCTGGGGTGGGGTGGGGCTGGGGGCTGGGTGAGCTTTCTCTGGAGCTGACAGGCCAACCTCTTCCACAGTGTATGCATCAGTCAGCCTCTACCTGCTGCCCGAGCGGCCAGCCACCCTCATCCTCTATGAGGACCTTGTGCACATCCTCTTGGGTTCACCTGGTAAGGTTCCTCTTACTCCCCACCCCACCCCACCCCACCCCAGCTCCTCTTCCTTCCCCGTCTGGATATAGAAAGCTCTGCTCTTCCACGTATTCACTGGGCAAGTCAATCTCTCTGAGCCTTAGTTTGTTCATCTGTAAGATGTGAAAATTGGTAGTACTGACATAACCAATTTGAGGTATAGATTTAATATCAAGCATGCGAAAAGCAGCACAAAAGGTGGTCGATAAATGTTTCTTGTTATTGGGACTCCTTGTGCTTCTGTTCTCCCTCCACTCCTAAGAATTCCTACTCCCTGCCACCTATATCATTAGTATACCTACACAAACATTGTGCACCTCCTGGGTGCCTGGCTCTGTTAGAAAGCCACAAGGGTCATTCCACAGAAATCGCACACCCACAGAAAGCAAGGCCTGGCACAGCCTGCAGCGGTCCTTGTCTACCCATGGGCTTTCACCCAGCCAGTGACTGCAGCACCTAGGCCATGCCAGGTGTTGTGTCTGGTGCTGGGGAACAGTGACAGAGCAGCCCCAGCCTTGCAGAGAGACAAGCTGATCACTGCGAACCCTGACGTGATCACAGCGCCGGCAGGGCAGTGGAGTAGAGGGCAGCTGTGTTCAATATTGAGAAAACCCTAACCTGCCAATGTAGCAGCGCAAGAGAATTTGGGGGAAGAGAGCTGTGGGACCGTGCCAGCTTGGGAGTTGAAGAGGGGGAAGGCTCCTTTACGAGGAGTGATGCAGGGGCAGAGGGGTCACTGAGGTGCAGGGAATGTTCTGGTCTGGCGAAGAGGAGGGGTGCCTTGTGCAGACTGGTGGATGAAGCCAGGCAGAGGGCAGACTCCATCTGGCTAGCTGTAGGGAGCTACAAGTGGGTTTTGGAGAATCCCATCCCCAATTTATATTCTTAGCTTGGGCCCTTGTCCCCAAATTACTCATTTCCTCATCTTCATCTCCCTGATCCTGAACCAGAGCCTTCAAAAATGTCTTTGGAGGTCTCTAAAATGTCAGGTGAACCCTTTGTTGCCCCCTAGCTTAGAGCCCTCCCACTGCTTTCAGTAAAAAGCCTGGACTCCTTTGCAAAGCTGACTGCGCCCTCAGGGACCTGACCTCCCCTCTAGGCACCTGGAGCCCCTGACCAGCATCCGGGCCTTTCTCATGTCAGTTCTCCCGGAAGTCCCTGTCCACTTTCTTTCTGGGCTGAGTATTCCTCATCCTGCCAGGCTCCACAGGGCCTTCCCAAGATGGGCAGGGCAAGATCCCCTTGCACCCTGCTATTTAATAGCGAGTGAGAGGGTGGGCTGGCACCAGACTGCCTGGGCTTCAGTCAGGCTCCAGGGTGGTGACCTTGGGCAAGTTCCTGAACTCCTCTCACCTCCATATCTTCATCTGTAAAAGGGGGTTGATAAAGGCACCCACCTCAGGGGCTGTTGTGCCAATTACAGGGGCTAATATAGGTAACCTGCTTTCAACAGTGTCCAGTGTCTTGAAGCTTAATAAATGCTAGCTGTTACCATATCATGTCAGAATTCTGTTTATGTGTCCCCTCCATCCTAAGACAGACACACATACAATCTAAGCTGTCTAATGCAGCAGTCACAGCCACATGAGGCTATTTACATTTAAATAAATTAAAAACATTAATTAAAAAAAATTAAATCCAGTTCCTCAGTCACACTAGCCATACTTCAAGTGCTTAATAGTCATGTGCACCTGGTGGGTTCTGTAGTGGGCAGCACAGATATAGAACACTACCCTCCATCACAGCAGAAAGTTAAAGTTCTAATGGGCACTGCAATGGATAGCAGAGCACTAGACTGTGAACCTGAAGGCAGGAAATTGTGAACTGTGTTTGACTCATCTTTGTATCTCCAGCACCTAACACAATGCCTGCCACACAGTACATAATAGTAATTGAGGACCTGAACCTCATCATCTTGTAAGTTAGTAAGGAAACAAGTGGTTCAGAGAGAGCAAGTAACTTGCTGAGGGTCACACAACCAGGATGAGGAGGTTTCAGGTCCGTGCCCATTCCAGGTTAACAATCTATGACTGCCCAGGTTTCTCCCCAAGTCACCACCCTCCCCGGCCTTCCCAAGCGGCCTGACCTAATGGCTCCCCTTCTCCTTAGATACTTGCTTTCTGCTCTGGATCCTGGGGAACCTTGTCTCTGGCCAGGCCACAGCAGCCCCTCTCTGTATCCAGGTGCCCGCTCCCAGCCCTGGGTGCAGTTCCAGCGCCGGGCTGCCCGTCTGCCAGTCAGCTCCACCTACAGCCAGCTCTGGGCCTCGCTCACACCAGCCAGCACCCAGCAGGAAATGCGGGCTTTCCCTGCCTTCGTGGGCACCGAGGCCACCAGCTCAGGTATGCTAGGTTTCAGGCATGGAAGCGATATTCTAGTCCCCCAACCCCGGGTGTAGCCCTTAGCCCTTGTGTCCCCTTTGCCCAGGCAATGGCTCCTGGCTGGAGCTGATGCCCCTGGCTGCTGTGAGTGTACACCTGCTGACAGGCAATGGGACAGAGGTGCCGCTCTCAGGCCCCATTCACCTGTCCCTGCCTGTGCCCTCAGAGCCTCGTGCCCTCACGGTGGGCACCAGCATTCCAGCCTGGAGGTTTGACCCCAAGAGTGGTGAGTGCCTCAGGGGGTTGGAGCTCCTGGAGTTTGGGGAAAAAAGTGGGACTTGGGGGGAGGGCACTGAGTTTGACGAAACCCCTGCCTCTCCCAGGGCTGTGGGTACGCAATGGCACTGGTGTGATCCGGAAGGAGGGCCGGCAGCTCTACTGGACCTTCATCTCCCCCCAGCTGGGGTACTGGGCAGCTGCCATGGCCTCCCCAACAGCTGGTGAGATGGGGGAGGGGGGAGAGGGGCAGTGGTGAAGAAGGAGGCTGGGAGAGTGGACTCCCTTCTGAAAGGCAGGAAGGACCCCCACACCTGGAATACTAAGCCCCTGCCTGGCACAGGGCTGGTCACTATCACATCAGGCATCCAGGACATTGGCACCTACCACACCATCTTCCTGCTCACCATCCTGGCAGCCCTGGCCCTGCTGGTGCTCGTTCTGCTGTGTCTGCTCATCTACTACTGCCGGTGAGTGCCTCCCAATGCCCCTTGCTACCTCCCAATCTCCCAGCCTTCCTCATGCCCGCCCTCCACCCCAACCTCCTCTCATCCCATGCAGACTGAGGCCTGCTCTGTGCTTGGTCTTGTGCTGGGCTTTCAGGCCCCAAAGAGGCATAAAACACAGTGCCAATCCTCAGGACACTGACAGGAAAGAACTGAAAACGCACATGCCAAGAACCGAACGACTGGTGGCTTGAGAGAAGTTGCAGGAGAGGAGGCAGGACCTGCAGGCCAGGCCCCTCCAGAGACAAGCTGCCGCTGCCCTACCCCCCTTGCCCTCACTTCCGGGGGACCTCAGGCCAGTCGTGCCCCTGGCTGGCCTGAGTGCTCCCCCCAGGTTCTCAGTGCACCTTCTGCATTGGAAGGAGTACAGTTTCCCCCGGGGTACCCACATGGGCCTAGCTGCTGCTGGACTCCCACAGACACTCACGCTTTCCACAAACCTCTCCCAGGGCCCATCTGGGCTCCCCAACATTTCTCCTGAGTCCCAGGCATTCTCCCCACCCCTCCAACTATATCTATTCCTCACCTTGAAATTGAGGGGCTTAGGGAGCTGCTCCGGCCCCCACCCGTTCCTGAGGGTCTGCCCCTTCCTCTCCAGGCGGCGCTGCCTAAAGCCGAGGCAACAGCACCGCAAGCTGCAGCTCTCCGGGCCCTCCGACGGTAACAAACGAGACCAGGCCACCTCGATGTCCCAGCTCCACCTCATCTGTGGGGGACCTCTGGAACCCGCCCCGTCGGGAGACCCCGAGGCTCCGCCTCCAGGCCCCCTGCACTCGGCCTTCTCCAGCTCCCGGGACTTGGCCGCCTCTCGGGACGACTTCTTCCGCAGCAAGCCGCGTTCTGCCAGCCGTCCGGCCGCTGAGCCTCCAGGTGCCCGCGGGAGTGAGGGCGCCGGGCTCAAGGGCGTCCGCCCCGTCGAGGGTCCCGGCGGGCTGGAGCCAGGCCTAGAGGAGTACCGGCGGGGGCCCTCCGGGACCGCGGCCTTCCTGCACGAACCGCCTTCGCCGCCACCGCCCTTCGAGCACTACCTGGGCCACAAGGGGGCGACCGAGAGCAAGACCCCCGACTTCCTGCTGTCGCAGTCCGTGGACCAGCTGGCGCGGCCGCCGTCCCTCAGCCAGGCTGGACAACTCATCTTCTGCGGCTCCATCGACCACCTCAAGGACAGTGTCTACCGCAACGTCATGCCTACCCTGGTGATCCCCGCGCACTACGTGCGCCTCGGTTCTGAGGCGGGCGCCGCGGGGGCGAGCGACGAGCCTGCCCCGCCCGAGGTCACGGCTCCCGGCCCGGCGCGCCCTTTTCCCCAGCCCGACCCCCAGCGGCCGCTGATGCAGGGCCACTCGGGCGCGGGAGGCGAGGGCGGCGGGGGGGGCGGCGGCGAGGGCTGGGGGGGCGGGCGCTCGGCGCCGGTCAGCGGCTCGGTCACTATCCCGGTGCTGTTCAACGAGTCCACCATGGCGCAGCTCAACGGGGAGCTGCAGGCGCTGACCGAGAAGAAGCTGCTCGAACTGGGCGTGAAGCCTCACCCGCGCGCCTGGTTTGTGTCCCTCGATGGGCGTTCCAACTCGCAAGTGCGTCACTCCTACATCGACCTGCAGGCGGGCGGCGGCGGCCGCAGCACCGACGCCAGCCTGGACTCGGGTGTCGACGTGCACGAGGCGCGGCCTGTGCGCCGGCGGCCCCTGCGCGAGGAACGGGAGCGCGCTCCGACGACCGCCCCGCTGCCTCCCCCTGCGCCCCCGCGCCTGGCGCTCAGCGAGGACACGGAGCCCAGCAGCAGCGAGAGCCGCACGGGTCTCTGCTCCCCAGAGGACAACTCGCTGACCCCGCTGCTGGACGAAGTGGCGGCGCCCGAGGGCAGAGCGGCCACGGTGCCCCGGGGTCGGGGCCGCAGCCGCGGGGACAGTTCCCGCAGCAGCGCCAGCGAGCTGCGGCGCGACTCTCTCACCAGCCCAGAGGACGAGCTGGGGGCGGAGGTGGGGGACGAGGCTGGCGACAAGAAGAGCCCGTGGCAGCGGCGGGAGGAGCGGCCGCTTATGGTGTTCAACGTCAAGTAGCGCCGGGGCCAGATCTGGCGCAGCCTCCGAGTCGGCCCCCGCCCCTTCCGCCCAGGCATGCCCCCAGGGTGCGTGCCCCGGCGGCTGCGGGGGCACTCGCTCTTAGTCCCCAGCCCGGATAGGTGCCCAGGAGTCTGCGGAGCTGTCCAGTGGTATGTGCTGGGTAATGTCGTGGGTGGGACTCTATGTCGGCCTCCAAGAGGGAGGTGGGAGGGTTCCAGACCCATTGGGAGGTGCTGGGGAGGAGGGCTGGGAGGGGGGAAGCAGTGCCTGCATAAACGTGGCTGTACATAGAAAGCTCTGTCGTGGGAATGCAGGAGGGACAACCCGGCCTCAGCTGCTAGTGTGAGGGCTGGGAGGGGAGGGGGTGCTGCTGACTGACTAGTCCACCTCTGGGCTATGATGTCACAGGACTGGTGGCTGGGGCAGCTCTGGGGTCTAGGGGATAATGTGATGGGATCGCTGTGGACAACAGCAAATATAAAACTGGTGACATTAACATCGTGTGTCTTTCTGTGGGGTTGGGGGAATGTGGGCACTGGATGGGGCTCTTGCTGAGGGGTCCCCTGGGGAAGGCAAGCAGAGTGGCTAAGTCACACACTGTTAAGAAAGTATACAAACTTTACTGCAGCACACACAGACACACACACCTGTGGATAGGGAAGAGCACCTAGCCACAGGGTCCATGGAAATTGGGGGAGGGGATGGCAGCTTGTAATGTGGCTTTTTCCACAGCCCCCCTACTGACAGGGCCCACCTCCCACAATGATGGGGGACTCAGAAAAGGGGGGTCCAGAAGAATTTGGTGGAGAAGAAGAGCTGGGGAGGCCTGAGCAGTGGATAGATCCCTCTGAGCAGAATCCCGAGGGCTGCGGAGTGCCTTCAGTCCTGCATCCTCCTCACAGCAGCTGTCTTGGGGCTGGGTCCCTCAAAGGAGTGTCCCAGCGCAGAGTCTCCCTGCGCAAACACTTGGTGCCCTTGGCCCCACAGTGGAAGCCAGCAGGACAGCAGTGACGCTGATCTCCACAACAGATGCCCTGGATGGTGGAGCAGGGGTGGGGGATGGGAAGCGTGAGAGTTAGGAAACCCCGGACCTGACCACCGCCAGTACCCAACCCCGGGGTGGGGGGCGGCACTGACCTTGCGATAGGGACAGCAGCCCCAGCCTCCTCGGCTATCTCGGCAGCAGGTCTGATTATCATGGCAGAAGTGGCCCGCCCCACACTCCACATTCCCCACCCCGATGGGAGGGCCTCGGGCCAGGTGGGCAGCAGGGCGGACAGGGTCCACCTCCTTCTCACAGGACCGGGCCTTCACATTGCAGGCATACCCAGCTGGGCAGCAATGCTGGCGGTCCTCGCAGCACACCGCCTGGGGCGTGGGGACAGAACTGCATGACGCTCTTGCCCGCCTGCCCTCCTGAGACTTAGCTGCCCTCTCCAGGGGCTGGCAGGTGTACACTCACATGGGGCAGCTGGCAGCAGGCCCAGCCCCCACTCAGGCTTGGGCAGCAGGTCTGTCCCACTGGGCAGCTGGTGCGCTGGTCACAGCCCATGTCTCTGGGTGGGGACAGGGAAGTCCGGTAGGCAGGCCTCTTCTTCTGTCCGATTACTATCTTGCTTCCCCTCTGACACCATCCCTCAGCTATGCACATGTAGCCCTGGGGACAGCAGTGCTGGTGGTCGGAGCAGCAGACAGCCTGTGGGGGCAGAAAAGGGTGGTCTAGGAAGCTACTATGTGGATGAAACACTGAGCCCCCACCTCCCCCCACTCTGGCTCGCCTGCTCACAGCTCCTCCAGCTGGGAATTAAGCTCACAGAGCTAGTGTGCCACCCATGGGCTGGGCAGAGCATGAAGAGCAAGGCAACAGGAGTCTGGCCAGCGGCTCAGGCCACAAGACAGCCCGCCTCCCAGGACTATCCCCCTACCCATGCACCTCTGGAACAGGACAGCAGCCCCACTCCCCAGACATGAGCCGACAGCAGGTGGTGGAGGAGGGACAGCTGGTGACGTTATCACAGAGGACATCATCCTCCGTGGCTTTGGGGCCTGACAGGCTGTGGTGGGCTGGGGTCTTCTCCATCCAGGGCATGTGGTGGACCCCCTGTTCACAGGTACCCTTCTCTGTGTTACACCTAAACCCAGCTGGGCAGCAGTGTACATGATCGTCACAGCATACAGCCTAGGGTAGGTGGAGAGGGAATAGTGGGCACAGGGGCCTACCTGGCTGCCACCCTCTGCTCAGCCCAGCCCAGCCCCGACTCCTCGGTACCTGGACAAAAGGACAGCAGCCCCAGTCCCCAGACTGTAGACGGCAGCAGGTGTAGCCATCTGGGCAGCTCATCTCCAGGTCACACTTCACCTCCTGCACTGTGAGGTAGGCAAGGAGGACAGGTCAACAGTGGCACTGGGAACTCTAGGGGGACCCCAGGTTAGAAGCAGATGTTGCAGATGGAGGCTTAGGCCACCTCTGGCAGTGATCCTAAGGTGAGGCCCAGTGTGGAAAAAAGGGGTCTGGACCTGCAGTGCTCCTCCATGGGACACCATTCCCCCACCCATATCTGTTCCTGTACAGCTTGGTGGGGAGCTCCTTACGGTGCAGGTGAAACTGGGTCTGCGGCCTGCTGCTGTTACCTGTGTATGCGGGCAGCTTGGTGAGGAGGTCTGTGGCATTCTCCTCATGGAGGCACTTACTCTGGATCAGATCGCACACAGTGTCCTGGGGGCAGCAGTGCGTGTGGTCGGAGCAGCAGATGGCCTGGGTGGAGGTGGGGGTAGGTCTTTGTGACTTTCAGTTCCAGTCCATCTTAGGTTGCTGCCAGGTAAGACAGCTGGCATTGCCTCAACCCCCCACTAGAGGGTGGCATGAGTCCTGAGCAGCCAGGCTCCCAGCAGCTAGGCAGCAAGCTCCACCCAGCAGTCCCTGCAAGGTAGGTATCCGGGCTAGGTGGCTGTGGGCACATAGCCCAGCTGGCTACAGCCCCTCACTCACATTGGGCATTGGGCAGCAGCCATACTTCCCATCAGGCAGTTCACAGCAGGTAGAATCATTAGGGCACTCAGAATGCCTGTCAGGGCACAAGATCACTGAAAAGGGAGAGAAGCACTGAGGAGCAGCCAGATGGTGGGGAACTCATCCCCAGCCAGGAGCCAGACAAAGCCTCTCCTCTCCCCAGCCCCCAACTGGATGCTCTCCTACCTCCTTACCTGCCCTATTAGTCCTCTGTGCTGGGATCTTCTTTGCCAGGGGGAGGGTGCCTGTGGCAGTGAGGCAGCGGGCATTAAACAGGTCACAGAAGGTACCACGGGGGCAGCAGTGCACCCTGTCTCGGCAGCAAGAAGCCTAAGAAGAGGTGGTCCTGACTCCATCTTTGCCCCCTCCAGCCCTTCCCCTCCCCACCATCCCAAACCCATACCTGGGGTATGGGGCAGCATCCCCAGGAGCCATCAAGCATAATGCAGCATGTGGAGAAGTTGGGGCATTCAAATCGGGGATCAGGGCACTGGACAGCTCCCAAGGGGTTGTTGTCTGTGGACAGGATGACCCAGGATTCTGCCAACCCAGTCAGGGAAGGTCACTACATTAGGGCTCAGTGTTATCCCAGGCACTCCGAACCACCTCTCCCCACAAGCCAATCATGGTCTCGGCAAAATGGCACAGGGCAGGGGCATCCATTGATTAGGCTGGCCTTAAACCAGCCTGGCATTCTCTCCTGCCCCTCCTAGCCCCACTGCTGTCCCTCTGTCCAGAGCAGGGGATTGCTCAGTACAGATGCCACATGAACAAGGGCACCAAGGCAGGAATCAGTGTCACCCAGGTGGCTGGGTTCCTGGGCACTCCAGGCTCTACGTGCTGCCTATCCGCCTGCCCTCCACCTCCACCCTTGCTGCACCTGATGCTTGGAAGCAGGACTGCCCATCTGTGCTGCAGTGGTAGCCCCGTGGGCAGCAGTGGTGGCCATCTCCACATGACACAGCCTGTGACACACAGAGATGCCGGTGGTGGGAGAGTGCATGAAAAATATAAATGCAACCTGAACCTCCCCATCACACCGATGGCACGCTCACCTCTGGGAACGGGCAGCAGCTAGAAGTCCCTGAGACGGTAAGGAGGCAGGAATAGCCAGGAGGGCAGTGGGCACCAGTCTGGCAGGGTCTGCCCAGATGTCTGCTCAGTGCTGTGGGCCAACTGTCCTGGGAAGCGAGAGGAGAGGATAAACCAAAGGACTGGAGCCTGCCCCCTGCTCTGGTCAATCCAAGATGACCCTTTGGAAAACAACAGGCTGTCAGCTCTTGCCTGGACTGAAGGGCACTCACCGGGACAGGATTGCAACAGCTGTAGCTGGCTCCTCCAGGATCCGGGCAGCAGGCTACAGGGCAGACCTGACCATCTGGGCACTGCGTTCCAGTCACCAACCCTGCCATTAAGGCCACCCAGCTCACCAGGGTCCACATGGTCTGCCTACAAAATACCAACAAGCCCTTGACAACTAGCTTAAGCCCATGTTACCCTCAATTCTGAAGGCAGTCACTCCCCCAGCCCCAGCCCCAGCCCCAGGCCCGGACTACTGAGCTTCCCCAACAGCCCCTTGTCCAGGCAGGAAGGAAGACGTGGGGCTTGAAATTCAGCTTCCTACATGTGTCCTGTGTGTGTGTGATTCTTATGCCAGTGTGTGTACGCCCATGAGCATGAATACTGACATAAACGTGTGTAAATCTGGGTCCCCAAAATGTGGCCTAACACCTGGGTCTGTGGGTGACTGTATAGAGATGTGAGAGGCAGGAAGATCTGTGGGTTTTATGGGGCTGATCTGTGGCCACCCTGGGGAGGGGGGGTATCAGTAGTCTTGGAGTGGTGTGCGAGGGAGGCCTTTCCTGAAGAAAAACCAGGTTGCACTTCCCCAGCCAACCCCTCCACATGCCTCCTCGCCTGATGTTATGCTCACACCTGCACTCTGCCGAGGCCTGTTGCTGCATGATGACGTGGGGAAACCATGGGGTTGAGAAGGTTGTGAAAAAGGAAGTGCAATGGCCAGTGAAATTTGGGCTGTCTTCCCCAGCAGTCAGCCACTGCTGGCCATCTGACTGTCCCCTCTCCACCCAGGGAAAGCAACACACACATTGGGTCAGCCTCTGAGACACTTGTGTTCTAAGGTCTCCTGCAATAGCATCCCCTAAACCCCTGCCTTCCCCTCTACCCTGGAGCTGAAACTCAGCCACATGTGGAGCGAGACTACATTTGCCCACCCAGCTGCTGATCTCAGTCAGCAGAAGGAACCACGCCTCAGTGTCTTGGCGGGGCAGCCTCTCACTTCCTAAACAGCCAGCCTTGCTAGTCCAGTGGGGCGGGCCTGGTAAATGCTGCCCTGCTTAGAGAGGCAAAAACACTAATGTTTGCTGAACCTCTCAGGAGCCAGTTAAACACTCTACAATTATTTTCTTTCTTCTTTGCAACAACCAACCAAAGAAGTAATTATTATCTTTACTTTTCAAAGGAGGAAATGAGGTTCAGAGACATTAAGTAACATGCCTATATCATATATCAAGTCATGGAGATGACAGACTTTGATGGCTCCAGAGCATATTGAACCTGGGTCATGTCACAAGGGGCACCATGGACAGTGCCCAGGAATAGACCCCAAACCCAGGCAGGTAGAGGCCTGGGGTCCAAGCAGAGGAGGGAGACAGAGGCACTTCCTGGGCAGGTGAACCAGGCAGGACAGAAGCAGGGAGTGCAGGGGCTGCCTGGATATACACTTGGGTCCTAGTCCTAGAACTGCCACCACTGACCGTGACAGCATTAAAAGTTGCTCCCTGCCTCTGAGCCTCAGTTCCCCCTGAGTCTATGCGTGGACATTGCACACTGCAGGGACTGGCACCCACCCTATCACTCACATCCTCTCTCCCTCACCTGGCTTGCTTCAATGCTTCCTCTCTAGCAGGCCATCTCCTAGTCAGATGAGGGTGAAGACTGGCCCTGAGCACGGCCCTGTCACCCTCTCTACATCCATAGCTCCCAGGCAAGGCATCTACAGCTGTCCTGCCTGCTTCTTGGGAGTTCAACCTCAACCCGCCACAGGCTGTCCCGGCCGCCCTGGCTTACGCTTAAAAGGGTACCTTTCAGCACGATCCGGAGAGGCGACCCCTCGCCCCCACCCCACACTGCTACAGTGGACGGAGCACAGGAGCCTCTTCAGGCCCCCAACTCCATCATCTTCCACTAGGTGGCAGCCCCCCAACTCCGAGTGCGAGGACAGAGATTCCCAAAAGGTGAGCCAAACCCCTGCAAGTGAGCAGGAAAAAGTGGCTGGGAGAGGCGGAAGTTAGCTTGTCGTTCCCCTCCGCCCCTCGTCACGAGAGGAAGGGTGAGCCAGACACAGCCCAGGGGTTCAGTCACCATTCCCCTCCGCCCCTCGTCACGAGAGGAAGGGTGAGCCAGACACAGCCCAGGGGTTCAGTCACCACTCCCGTCCCTACTACCTCTGAAGAGGTCAGGGTCTCAGTTCCTACTCGCAGGCCTCTAAGCTGGGGGACCAGGGGCAGGCGCCTCTCCCGCTCCCACCCACCACCAGCACCACCAATACCGCCGTGGGGCGAAGCCAGCTCGAGAATGGCGTGGTCTCAGCTGTAGGGGAAGGGGCTGCGGCTCCCGGAGACGCTGGAGAGGGAGAGAGCCCCCTTCGAATGCAGGCCACTGCAATTACTGCATTCTCCCACTCCCGATAAAACTTCCGCCAGTGCACTGGAAACCCCCAAAAGAGTTTCTCTTAAACCAGCCTTCTCTCATCTCCCGGCTGAAACTCCAGAGGAACCTCAAGTCCCCACGTCCCCCAGGCCAGGCCCCGGAGAAGCAGCAAACAAGAGGTCTGCAATACCATCCTCACCTGCGTCCGGGGCGGCGCTGGCTGGGTAGCAAGCCGGCGGCAGCTCACCGATTTAGACCTCAGCGCGAGGGCCCGCCTACCTCGGTTTCCATTGGTCATGCGTCTGGGCTGTCGCGCTCCCACTGGCTAATCCTCGACATGGAGGCGGGGCCATCCTGGAATGCTGTGCTCCTTTCCTACTGAATTCACCCTCCTCCTTCTCTTTCCCCACAACCGGTTTCTGGGGATCATGTGATCGCAGAATCATGTGATGCTCTGGCCAGCTCAGCTGGCCTGCGGATGACCGCCTTCCCACCTGCTGCGGGCGCCTAGTAGAGTTTGCCCGAGAAGGGGCAGCGCCGCTGGTCTGGAGACGATGACGACGAAGGGAGCTTGGCCTTAGAGGGTGTGGTCAAGGGCATTTACAGGATGTCCATTTCTGGATTGAGGACATTTGTGCATCATGTTTTGTTTCTTTTCTATTAAGTAAACTCAGATTAAATGCTGGGCAACCAGACCCCAAAGGGGGTTGAAGGAGAGTTGTGAGGGCAAGACTGAACAGCCCTCAGGCCCCTCCTCAAGGTGCTCACGGCAGGGCACGGGTGGGTGGAGAAGGGGAGACGGGCTCAGATTAAATCTAAGGTAAGGTACGAGGTCTAGTGTCAGGTGCTGTGGATGTGAGTAGGGAAGAGGTAGTAGGTTGGCGCTAGGCGGGGAATAAGAGATTTAATTCCACCTGGGGGCACCTTTTTGAGCTGAGTCTGGGAGGATTTTAACTGGCAGGTCACGAGGGGTTAGAGAAGTGACTGGATGGGGTGTTGAGAAGAGCATTAGGAAACCAGATGGAAGAGCAGCCTTGGGCAGGTATTGAATACCAAGTTAATTATATAGTGGGCTTGAGGAGCTGCTGGGTGCCTGGCACAAGGCTAGGCCAGGGGTGGGTGCATAATGGAAGTGGCTTCCTAGTTTCAATCAGCCCTGCCTTCCAGGAAGTGAAGTGGTAGATGAGGAGAGAATATGTACCACGCACAACAGATTAACCAGTTACAGGAGCCAGACTGCTCAATGCCAAAGGGCCTGTCCCAGGCAGAGAGGGATGATGGGATATCCTCCAGGGAGAGGAGAGGTCAGAGAAAGCCTGGTGCTGGGCCTCGGAGAGCAGGCAGTGTTTGGTTGTGAGAGTGGCTGGAGAGCGCTGCAGGCTAAGCAAAGAACTTGAACTGAGGGTGAGGCCAGGGTAGGGAACAAACAAACTCAGCGACGGTGGGAGTCTGGGTAAGGAAGGAGAGAGAGGATTGAGGATTGTGTGGCAGTGGTGCCTGTGGAGGCCAGGGTAGGGAACAAACAAACTCAGCGACGGTGGGAGTCTGGGTAAGGAAGGAGAGAGAGGATTGAGGATTGTGTGGCAGTGGTGCCTGTGGGTGCCCGGGACTAGAGAGGTTCCAGAGAGTAGATAAGGCTGCTGCTGAGAATCAGGACTATTCACGCTGGTGACATTTGCACATATTTTCCTTCCTGTGTATCCTGAGGCAAGAGGGTATTGCTTATGCTTCTGTTGACAAAGGTTGTGCACACAATTTTCACAAAATGTTAGGCAAATTATTAGTAAATGAACCTATTAATCACAACTACACAGAACCAGAAAAAAAATACATGCAGAAAAAAAGAAAACCTAGACTGAAATCAGTATCAGAAAAAGTATCCTTAAAGGGGTGATCTGCCCACTTTGGGCATGTTGCCAAGTGTGGAGACATTCTGGGTAGTAACAACTTGGGGTAAGCACTGCAAGCATCTAGTGGACAGAGGCCGGGGATGCTGCTAAACACCCACAATGCCTGGGATGGCCCCACCACACAGACTATTCCACCCAAAATGTCAGTAGTGCTGAGGTTGAGAAACCCTCTAAGAGATCATAAACTTTGTCCACGAAAGAGTTCACAAAGTTTTCCTCACACAGACCCTTTCTTCTCTTATTCTTGTATTTTAAAATAAATGTTATCTGATTTCCCAGCAACAGTAGATTGTAGAGTGGTCAGGGGATATGTGCATTGAAAAAAGCAGTCACTTTTTGAGTTTTCACAAGGACGAAAAGCATTCAATAGGAAAAAGCAAAAAGTAGTCCAAAGAACTTAGAAGCCCAGCCTTCTGGGGATATTGGGATATTGGGACTGAGCAAACAGTACTGGACAACCCCATGGGCCTTACAGGCATCACTCTTAAAGTACAGTAATTGATAGTCACAGCACAAGCCTGAGCATTCAGAAAAATCTGAACCATGTGCACTTACTCTGATTGCTATTGAGGTAGGTCAGGGACATGGAATGAGCATCATGATTAAATTTTCCTGCCTATGATGAAAAATGCCAAGATAATAAACAGTATAGCGAGAACAGGAGAGACTCCATTTTAAGGCTAAACTTCCATTTAAAAACCAGGGAGTTAGGAGGTGAGATTCTTAACATGTTCTTTGGTAATCAGACAATAATCCACGCAATCTTAAGGCAGGGCAAGCAGTCTTAGCTGATATGTTCCCAGTGCTTAAGGGAAACCACCATCTTGGAGAAGAAACAAATCAATAAATTCCTTGTGTTAAGTGTATCTTACAGAATTATCTAGAGAACTAACGGTAGATAGTGACATAATGTCTCTCCCCGGAGACAGACATCATGAGACCACAAGTCAAGCCTATGCCCAACAACTCCCACCACCACTGCCCTTTGCCCAATTCTTGAAAGTTCTTAAAAGACAGAATCCTAAGCCCTTAAGTGCGCCTCCTCTCTGAGGATGCCCGCACTCCCCTATTTTCGAGAGTGTACTTTTTAAATAAAGCCTTCTCTCAAATTATTGCATTTCATCTTTGCATTCTTCTAGTGGTAATCCTCTTTGTTACTTCTCTATTTCATTCTATTTTCTAGACTTAAGCACTAGTTTTTTCTCTCTCTTTTCTACTTCATGCAAGTAGGGAAGGGCTACTGAGATCTCTGATTTAGGCTTGCAAGTTCCTGTGGCCTGAGTCACCCAGGCAGCTGCAGGATCATGCTTTTTAGTAGCCTGCCTAAAAATCTCCTTTCTTTGCTTTTGGGAAGTTCTCAGAACATAATCTCACTCCATCCAGTGCCCTGCAGCTCCTCCAGTCCTGGAGTAATAGGAGCTTAGTTCCCATGATTCAAGCAGACCTGGATGCCAGGTGACCCTGGCTTTGGAAGTTGGCAAGGGATCTGCCCTATACTGAGCAGGAGTTCAGTGAGCTTCCCTCTCCTCCGTTTGTTCTCCCTTTTTTCTCTGCTTCCTATATGGCTCCTGTTGTTCTCTGCTGCTCTCACTTTAATTAATTCCTTCCTTACCTATACTCTTCTCACCTGCTAGAGAATTCTTTCATTCTTTCTCATTCAGAGACAAGAACTCTCCCCCATCCAGGTTGAGGTTTCACTTATTGTGCAGGGAGAGAACTCCCCAGACGCAGCTGCCCGGCAACATTATGGCAAAGAAATGTGAACTAATTTACTAAACAGCTTGTCAGGATGGATTCAGCAAGCCTCCACTTCAGTGAAGTCCTCACCTGAGGACTGCAGAACACCCTACACCCCCAGTGTCCTTAAACCTTCCAGTTCATGACTCTCTCTCCCCTTGGTTTTTGCTTTTAAGGTGAGTGTATCATTCTGTGAACAGGGAAGACTGAAAAGAAGCAAATTTCCAAAGTCACAAAGAGATTTGATATCAAAGTGTCCATCCCATTTGTGCCACACCCCAAACCCTCCCATCCCCCTTCGGCCAGTTCTCATGATTCCTAATTTTGATAAAATAAATCAACTGTGAAAGTGCATTTATTTGTGGACTCTCAGTTCTATTCCATTGATCAATATGTCTACCCATAGCCAGTACCACACTGTATTGATTACTATAGCATTGTAAAATGTTTTGAAAACAGGAGAAGCAGGAGTTCTCCAACTTCCTTTCTAAGATTGCTTTGGCTATTCTGGGGTTCCTCACATTTCTATGTGGATTTTAGGATAAGTTTCTGCAAAGAAGACAGCTGAGTTGATAGGGAATACACTAAAACTATAGATCAATTTGGAGTATATTGCTACCTTAATAATAATGTTTTCCTATCCATGAACATGGGATGTCTTTCCATTAATTTATCAGTTTCTTTTTGACACTTGCCAAGCATTCCACACTATAGATAGTACACAGTTTACTTTATGAGTCTCATTTAATAGACTTTATGTGTTCCCAATTTTTCTCAGTTACAAATAATTATGCAATGAATATTTGTGAATGTGTCTCTGAGTGCATATGTAGGGGTTAGATTACTAAAAGTAACATTGCTGGGTATACACATTTGAAGTATTTATGCCGAATTATCTTAAAATCTTTTCAATTTATACCCCCAGTCAAGTATTTTGGAGAACTTAT